TACTTGGATATTTTCCCTTTATAGTTGGACAATATTAAGAAATCACAATTACTCAAATATTAATTATACCAATTTTATTCCATAAAACAAAACATGTTGTGTAACAAAAAGTAAAAATCATGAAATTATTTTTTAGCAGGATAATTTGAACATGTTTTCCTGTTATGTCCAACTTGAAGCCATCTACTACAAGTAACCTTTGACCTTTTGAATTTCACATCAGCAAACTCCTTTCAACGTTCAACATGTGATTTTCTAACTGATTTACTTGGATCGGATGCCATCAATTTAGGCTTTGAAATATAATTGGGTATATCCCACGTACTCTCGCAGGCGATAGATTCAACAGGGATGACATATGCATCTCTGAAATTCTTCAGGCTATAAAAGGTAGAACAGAACAATGATTCATGCAAGTATTCTGTATCTAACAACTGCAATTACATGAATGGTGAAATCTCCCACAACTACACACCTTGTATTTAAATTTACTATGTACTTCTTTGGTCCTTCAACAACAGCATACATATCAAACGTCGTGATATCACCTAACATGAAAAATCAATGCTCATTAAAAACAGTTCCAAAAAAATATGCCATTAAAAATAAAATAAAAATCTTTAATATCGAAGTAATACACATTTCATATTATAAACGTCAAAATAAATAATACAAACATTGCTTTACAAATAGAAAACAGACAAACAAACTAGCGTTTCATATTTCATACCATATTAATATGCAATTCAGACAACTAACATCATGTTGACCAATTTTATACGATTTTTTCACCAACAATTTCATTAATATTACACATATCCACAAATAACAAAAAAAATTACCAAGCAAAAAAATAAATATCATACAATTTTATAATACTCTTAATACAATGAATTAACATAGATTACTAAAAACAAATCAGAAAACTATAACAAATACCAACATGACGAATCTCATCTGCCACCATGTTTAATTAATATTGATAAGTTATTGTCCATCAAAATAAATCCCAATTTTTTCACATGAAAAAAACTCAATAAAAAAAAAAGAGTAAAAATTCAGCAAACATGAGAGTGAAAAATGTGATAGAGAGAAAAAAAGTAAAAAAATCATGTTTTAATTTGATTTAAATTAGTTTGAGCATTTTAAGGAAACTGAATAATTTATGTGCTAATTTGTTAATTATCCATTATTAATTAAAATTAATTTAAATGCCACAATTGGTGCTACTTACCAATTAATACGTAAACGCGGTTTACCTTTTATTTTATTTAAAAATTATATAAAATTTAAATGTAAAAATAAAAATAAATATTTAAACTTATTAATTAGTATTTAAATAATTACTTATAGTTGGTTTTTAAAATATTTGGGGAAGATGAATTTTTATTTTTTTTAAATATAGCGTGTGACGGTTTTTAAAAAAAACTGGTTTTGGTTTAGATAGTGGTGGGTAGTTATTATAGAATGATAAAATCCCTATTATTTTGTAATTTTTCTTAAAAGGTAACTATATAATGTTTAATTTAATTAATAATAGTTAAAGAGTTTTGTTTAAAAAAGGTAACTTAAAAAAATAATGTAATCAAATAATTTGGTTTTAAAAAGGTAACTTAAAAAATTAATTTAATTAAATAGATTGATTTAAAAAAGGTAACTGAATAATAAATGTAATTATTTAAATAAATAAATTATTATTTAAATAATTAATGAGAATAATATATTTTTTCTTGATATGCTATAACTTGATAATAATATGTTATAAGTAGTTTATTATCAAAAAGTATGTTTATAACTTGATATTTATCATCTTAAATGTGTGTGGAGTGTTATTTTTATTTCAAAAAAATTATACGCTTTAACATGAAAGCAATTATAATTTTTGAACTTGCATAAGGAACTCCTTCAATTGATTAGTGAGAAATTTCATATCTACATAAAAATAGACAATATGCAAGCTTCGATAGTATTTTTAAGTTGTAAAATTTTAATATAAAATTTCAAAACACAAATTATTTGAACTGAGTACAAGAATTATCTTTTGTTTAATGAATATTCATACTATATGAGTATATGTTCAATATAACCAGAGACAATAACTTTGCACTAACATAAAAACAGAGTTTAAAACATGTACTCGAAAACAACAATTAATATCATAAATATAAATTAATGAGTGTAAAAGAATATACCAGGATATGTAAAAAAAAGAATGAAACAGAAAGGAAAAATCGAATTCACTGAATGCATAATGTTCCTTTAAGAAAACTATTCCCCTCCAATATTACATGTTTAAAGAATTATATCCTCTCAGGATGAAACAATTTTATTCACCAACTTATTGATACAAAAACAATGGTGTCAATAAAAGTCATTCAACAGGAGTAAAATACACAAAAATATTTAATTTTGTGAAAGTAGAAGAAGAACATAAGAATTGTTGTTCTTTTTAAAATGAGAGGAAGTCCATTTATTTATAACAAACAAAGGGTAGTGTGAGCAACTGTATATTATGCCTTACCAGAAATGTTATAACTATTTAGAAAAGTTGCAATCCTTCTCAAAGTTCACAATCTTTCATAAAAGTTACAACTTTTCATTAGATTAGAATTTTTCATTAAAGTCGCAACTTTTTATAAAAGTCACAATTTTTCATAAAAGTCGCAACTCTTCATTAAAGTCCCAACTTTTTATAAAAGTCACAACTTTTGCTAGAAGACGCAACTCTTTATCAAAGTCACAATTTTTCATAAAAGTCACATCTTTTCATGAAAGAGAAAGCTAATTCTGGAACTAAATAAATTTAAAAGGAAATTCTTGCTTGTGATGATGCCACGTAGGCGAGACTAGGGTTCTCTTTTATATAAATATATGATATGATATATAAAAGCTTTTTATGAATAAAACGTAATTTTACTATAATACACCTCCCTCCATCTCATATTGCGTGAAAGTATTCTTTAAATATAATTTTCTCTAAGTTTTTAAAAACATTTTTTAATCATTACTCCCACTGTCCCATTTTATATGTCCTGTAAATAGTTGGTTCATAATACTTGTTATTTCATAAAGTCAATGCATAAATTATCATATTCTTTCTTTTTTATGCTTGAAGTTGTTAGCCTTGAAAATATACATTTGACCAATTTAATAAAGTTAAGTAAATGATTCATGTTCATTGGTTAAATTAATTAATCAAAATAAATTAATTCATATTCATTAATTGAAAACTTAAATAAAAATAGAAGGACAAAGTTACATTATTTCTTAATGCAGTTGTGAAGTAAAAAAGGTGACATATAAAATCAGACGGAGGGAGTATTTATGTATTCTTGTAATACTTGCGTATAGTTTTGTGATGAATAAATTTCATCTTAAAAAATTATAATCAAAATGAAATATTTAGCTCTTACATCAAACTCCTGTATATAAAATGAGAGGAAGGGAGCGCAAAAAAGAGTGATAAGGAAAAATATTTTTTTTCTCATCTTATCCCGTATGATCAATAATGTTTTTACTTACCTTTCAATATTTATCCCGTGACATATTTGTGGTGCATGTAAAGCACTTCAACACATGAAATTTGTTTAACATGTTCATAAACAAAATACAACGCACAATTAAGAAAATACTGATAAAATTAAAATATGTGAATGTCTTTTCCAGATTATTAAAGTTGAAAGGTAATCTGTGTATTTTCACTTCTTATAGAAGAACACACGTAATATTCAACTTTTTAATTATCATTAAGTTAATAAGCTCAATAGGATTGGGAATATTCATAGTTTCATTCATGATGTGAGCAATACAAATATAAATACCATTACAAATTTTATTTAAGAAAAAACACACTCCGAAATACGTGAACAATAATAAAACTTTTTATTTGAGCTTATTCTATTTTAAATTCTGATATACGGAATGACAACACTCGATTTATCCAATTTCTAGATTTCTATTAAGTTTACTGAATGTATTTTCAGACCTCCTTTCCACTTTTTGTTCCAAACTTCATACAATCCAAAATAAATCTTATTAACATTGTTCCCCTTCCCTTTTGTTATCGTAATAGCTTTTGATATCATCTTTTTGTCATTAGCCTTAGTTGCCAAATTCACCTTTCTTTGAGTATTATCTCCCCATTTAGCCATAAGATATATTGGTGAGTCGTTCCAACCGAATGCATCAACCATCAATGACATTGTAAATTCAATGTTGTATAATGTTTTCTTCGCTATATTAATATCGTCGATGCAACCAGTTACCTCCAACCAATTTATCTGTATAAGTTCTGCACCATCTTTTCTGTAATTCAAATACATTTACCAACAACATATTAGTTGATATTAAAAAATATACCGTATGTTAAGCCAATTAAATTGATTTATATAAACTTATTAATTAGCACCCTTTAGTTCTTACTCATATTTGGGTAACTTCCAGAAGCGTTTATCATTTCCCCAAATAATATCAAGTGCTTTCGGATAAACTATATAACCCTACAAACAACAAAAATAACATAATTCATATTTTTTTTAAAAAAAAATAGAAACTCGAACATAACTTAATATACATTGAAAGAAATTTCTTGCACCTTTTGTGTTTTGCAGAATTTGTGATTGCCTTGATAGTGAAAAGCTTTTGAAGCCATTTGCTATATTAAGTTAAATTACTCAAAATTAGTAAGAATTAATGTGGAGATTTAAGTGATGCTTTATGATATGTTATAATAAATCAAATATATATAGAGATAGGAATTATTTTCATGCATGCATGGGAATCAACTACGTTGTATGAAAGAGGCATTTAGCTAAGCATACCACCGACTAAAGTAGAAATGTCGGATTTTAGTCGTACGAAACTTAATTTAAATATCGCATATTTGATGTTTGTCAAATAATTAGGTGCAAATTAAATAATTTTAGTACAAGTTGAATAGTGACGTTCAAATAAGATACATCGTGATTTTTATTTTTTTCTTTTAAAAAAATGTTATTGTTAATACCTTATAGGGTTTACTGGATGTAAATCTGAATTAATCGAAGTAATTAGCTTAACAAAATCGGAGATGATTGGACGTTAAAAAGAAGTTAAAAGTATATATATACACTATAAATTATTGTCAAAATTGAACGCATAAAACTAGAACCGTCCTTTGTCAAATTGCTAAGAGATGGAATAACATTTACCCACTACAAACTGGTTTTGTGTTATATTCTCACACGTTTAGCATAGATATTATTCTTTCTGTTCATTTTT